GGGGGGGGTCTGAATTGAGCGATCAATTATTAGACCCGGACGTCCCAACACTTGCTTCGCAAGACAAACTCAAGGTATCCCCTAAAGGGCTACCTTTCGTGATATTCTGGATTGTTTTGGCATCCTATCTGGGTTTATATCTAGCATATACCTATAACTATATACTGTAAATGTTTGGCCAGATCGGCATTTTATCATATTTTATCTATATATTTGGCATTCTATCTGACATGTGTTCTGGCATTCTATCCGGCATATATTCTGGCATGCTGTTTGGCATCAATTCGGGCATTCTATCTGGCATGTTTTCTGATATTCTTTCTACTAGTAGTAGTAGTAGTAGTAGGAGTAGGAGTAGGAGTAGTAGGAGTAGGAGTAGGAGTAGCAGCAGCAGCAGCAGCAGTAGCAGTAGCAGCAGTAGCAGCAGCAGTAGTAGTAGCAGTAGTAGTAGTAGCAGTAGTAGTATTACGAAAAATCGACCTGGTTGTGGGCTCGGATTAGCTGGGGGGGATTGTTGGTAGAAAACTAGACCATAAGGGGGGAAATCAACAACCCTACTTTTAATTTGAGCAATTTCCGGCGGCTTTGTGGGCTTGGGTTAACTAGGGAGGATTTATTAATCCTGACTTTGCATTATAGCATTTATTATGACATTATTTTTCGCAATCTATTGGGCATCTCCTCCGGTATTCTTTCTGGAATTCTTTCTAGTCTAGTTCTGCCCGCCGCAGCCTGCCGCTCAGGTCCGGTCGTGCCCACTGAGATCTGGAGCTCGCAGTTCAGGTCCGGTGGTGCCCACTGCACTCTGAAGCTCGCAGCGAAGGAAGGAGAAGGAGAAGCGGAGAAGGAGGCGAAGTTGACAGCTGTGATACAGTATATAAAATCTAACAACCCTCAACTGGCAGGCAGGTGGGGACAAGAAACATATCCACAGAATCCAAGTTGGCACTGGGAAAGTCCCAATGCCCGAAACTCTAAGAGTTCCGCCCCCCCACCTTGGTCCTCCAACACTGTTGCTGATGTCGCTCAGTTGTAAAACTTCTTCGTTGGTGAGCTGGAAGTCAAAGATATCCAAATCTTCCTGCATGTGCTCCTGTCACCACACACACAGGAACCGACTTCCGGCCCACCTGTTTAACAAGCTCCGACCCAAAGTTCCAAACAAGCATGTGTATACTGCAAACACCCAAGCACCCCTTGCTTCCCAAAAGGCGGAGCTAGGCCCAAGCATGTCCCAAAAAGCATCCAAGTGCTGTCAACTTGTTTGAGCAGCTTGGATGCATCTCGCAAATGGCCCAAATCGGCAGGGAGGAACATGGCACGTGCTCCTGCAATCAATTTGGGCCTACCCACCACCCCCAAATGAATGAATCTGTCCTCTTACGACTACCTTCCTTAGGTGTCACCACCTCCCTGCGTAAAAATGCCTGAGGAGTGCACTGCACATCACATCACATCACAAGACATCACTGCACCACTCACACTGAGTGCCTTCTTCTTAGACTGCGTCGTGAACGTCGCGCCCGTGTCAATGATCCAGCGCCTCGCGAACAGCGCGTCGCAGTCCACAACGTCGGGCTAAAAAAGACCTCTTTGATCAATGAGGGCCCCTACTTAAATACCTTGTCCAAGTTCACCTTAATGACTCAATGTGGACTCTTGATTTATAACCCCCCCGTCAAACGGTTTTTACGGTGAGTCTATATTATATACTGTACATGCCGAGCTGTGTGTATGCCCTTCGCATCCCCGGTGCTTGCAAACATCTTCGGGACCCAACCTGTTTTCCAATCAAAACACCCCAGAGCAGTAAAAGAATCTGCTCAGCCGAAGTTCAACGCCACTTGAGCCGCTGTCTTCCCATACTTGATGCCGATCTCCTGCCAATTCAGAGCATCTGCTCCAGGGAGCTTCTGCTTTTGTGGCTTATCAATGCTTCTCATTGGTTTATGAACACGGTACCCACGATGATTCCATCCGCTTCCGGTCGCATGAACCCCCTCCGCTCCTCACAGGTGGAGGAGGCGCTCAGCCCCAGGGAGCCACTGCCCAAGGGCCCCCAAGCCTGGACCAACACACCACCTACAGCGGAGCGAGGGTTTCGGGGGCCGGAGTGGGGAGCCCCAGCTGCACCCGGTGCTGCACCGATGGAGGGGATCAGTGGAGGCCCCGATATGGCGTGGCGGACTGTTGCGGGAATGCTCGAGGGATTTCAGGGCATGTGGCGAGCACGCAGTGCGGTAACGCGGTCTTTCAAAAGGTTTCATACAAGGGTGACACATTCCAGAGCGCAATTCCTTCGTGGGGGATCTTGGGATCTGCAGGTTGACACTAAAAACGAAGAAGGGAGTGCACAGAAGCAAGGCCTGGATAGGCTTGGCAACTATGGAATGTCGTGGACCGCCTGGCAAGGGGATATGAAACCGCGGCAGTTCCTTAAGCTCAAGAAGCCCTCCGATGACCAACTGCCTATTTTGAGGCAAGTGGCTTAGATCTGAGCTGTAAAAATCCAACTCTAAAAGATCAAAGAACTCCAAAAAATCAAGACCAATGGATGTAACCCCAGTGAAGTGACTCAAAAAGGGTGCGGCTGCCGCCACGGTGTGCTTACTTGTGCTCTTTTCTGCCGCCACGGTGCGCTTTGCGTTGTCCTGCACAACTTTGGTGTCATAGTTCCTCGGTTTTGCACGAACCCTCCAGAACTTGAAACCATCGCACTAGAACAGTGGACCTGGTGGGTAAATATGGTAAATTTGTAGAGGGACTAGGTGCTTTGGGCATGTGAGCCAAATATAAAATGCTGCATGCTCAACAATCAAGGGGGGCGGAATATTCCCAATACCTGAATAAAGTTGTTCGGGGTCGGAATAGTACCAAATCACCAAACAAAAAGGAGGGATGCTTTCAACATCAGGTCAAACAGCTACGCCCCCTTCGCCGAGCCGCTTCAGGGAGTAGGGCAACTGATTCAAGACTGGGCGAGTAGCATCCTGCCGGTTCGCGCGGATGGCCACGGGACATGCATGGGACGGGCTGAAGCTGCAGAATTGACTTGGACTAAATAGAAGAAGGTAGACGGGGTAGGAAAATGACAAAGCAAGCTCGGGAGTGAAACGCTCCAGTCATCCACCCTCCAGTGCCAACTAGATTTTGTCCTACGAAATGACGAATCCTCAGGGCGAACCTGACGAACAGCTGTGAACACAAACCATTGTATGACCGGGGACAACAAGCCGCTGTGAATTTGACTTCAGGGCCCGGTTGACTGCACAATAACATGTGCAGGTTGATGGCCGATGATTTATAAATCTATTCTGTGCAGCCTTGGATCTGATGACCTGGCTGAGTGGACTCCCAAATTGAATCCAAGGAGCCGGATTGGCCAAAATGCAATCCAGTTGTTCGGGCGAAAAGTTGCTCACTGCCAGGCTCTTGGTTTGCCCCGCCGCCAACATCTCCTGGCAGGCGAGGGTCTTAAAGCAGCACACGACAGCGGGTGCGAACATTTGCGAACTTGGGGTGGTTGTAACATCATCATTCTTAGTGAATGGGGTCATCTGGAACTTTCATGAGGTCTCCCAAGGCTTCGCAGTGACTCAGCCAGGAGTGTCCTTCACAGATCTGAGATGATCTGAGTACAATTATATCACGTTGCTTTTTTGGGGGGGGGGCTTTGGATGCGCAATAAACATCAATAGACCACCGTTTGGGCGTAGTGAGTCACAACAAGTGGGACACCCTCAGCACCTTTGTTGCCCTAGTGTGTTCATTTCTGGCATGAGGCCGCAAACTCGTTGACCATCAATGTGCTGTTGGATTGGGCAACACTAGGCCCCAAATTGCACTTCCTGAGCACTCTGCATGGAGAAGGCACATTGTGGCACAGCCTGTTTCAAGACTTTGGTGGCAAAGGAATTTTGGATCCATCTTTGAAGACTTCTGCAGGTTCCAGGCATTAATAAAACCCAAGATTCCCAAGACCAGCGTGTCCTCAAAGGCCTTCCACTGCCCGCGGATCGTCTCGCAATCCTTGGCTGGGTAATCCAACCTCGGAGCACACGCGGGTGCCGTGCAGGGGATCGTCACAACGATTGGCATCGGGCATCGGAACATATCGGAACGAATGGCGTCGCACCAGACTCTAACTACATGTCACAGCATGCATTTCCTTGCTAGGTTTGATCATGTGTTTTTACTTGGCTTCGGATGAAGCAAACTTGACTTGATGCTCTTATGAGTAGGAACCACCATGGCTTGCCACAACAACCTGAAGCCCTGGGTGCCTTTTGGGTGACTTGGTTTGTTTGACACGTCAGGGCACAAGATCATATCCAGCTCAGTGATGCCGCCAGCTGCAAAGGCCTCCAGGTTCTTGGTGCAGCCCTCCTTGGTAGAGAGATACCTGCCAGCAAATGATCTCAAGAGATTGCTCCAAAATGCCAGTGCCCACCACAAAATAAGGAAATAACCAAGAGGAAAAGGTATATACCTTGCCAGTAAACCATGTCTTCCGATCTGGATTCACTTCGGGCCCCACGTCTGCATCGCTGGTGCCATCGTGCCGACGTCTCCAAACCCGAATCCCTAGAGTTCGTGCCACTGATGACGTGCGGCTTAGCAGACATATCGACCACTGCAGCCGACCAGTTCTATATGGAGTTTTTCAGGCTAATGAAACCCAGGTCTATGGTCAATGCCGAGCTCAAACTCGCACCTAAAGCCTGTGCTCTTTTGTGAAGGGAAAAGGCCGACTTGATCAAATTTCTGGTCACTCGTTGAAAAGGGGCAATGCGGCAATGCTGTACCCCACAAGCATATCATGCATCCTCAGCATACCCCAGGTCCACTGATGTTCGGTTCCCCATCAAAAGAACCCGGGGTCTTTTACGAATCCATCCGCCCATACCAAGCCACGCATCCTCGAAGTCCTCGCAACCAAGTGCTCTACAACGAAAACATACGAAAACCGTCCCAGTCCACGCCGAAGGGGCCATGGAAGTGAACAAAGCTTACCCTGGAGATGAACATGGAGCCCCAAAACGACCGTGCTATATACTGAAAAATGGTCTTCCATGACTTCCATGGGCCAATTCTCAGGCCATATTAGTCTGCCGAAGGGTAGGAATTAAGAATGGAGCCTTGTCATCCCTTGCCGTCGGGTTGATCAGGCAGGATGTAGATAAATCTTGACACTTGTGGCTCTAATCATTATTCTAATCGTCGTTGCCACAACGATAATTACTTTGCCATTCTCTTTGCTCATCCGTACTCCATCCTATCACTTGCCAAGGGGCCTCCTATTCTGCACCTGACCGACCCACGTGGAGTTGTCATCCTACCTACATGGAGCTGTCTTCAACTTACTTAGATATGACGCGAAGATCATCCGTTTACAGAAGACATTAGATACCGAGCGTTATGACCCTTCCAATTACATCGCTGACAACCCGCCACTATCCCACCACAACACACCCAAACCATCCCAACATATCCCAACTACCTTTTGACAACACGTTTCTGCACACTGCACACAGTCCCCAACGCCCCAGTGAGGTGGTACCCAAAAGCAACTAATAAAATCCAACCAAAAAGACCAGGCGCCCTGGCACCTGGTCTACTTTGGATGTTGCTTAGACTCAGACCTCATACTGAAGCCATGCGGACAGCACCCGGACCACATTTGGGGAAACACCTGGAGCCAGCTGGGCCTGGGCGAGGTTGCTGAGCACTGAGCCGCAGATGAAGAACTCATCTCGCGGCACGCCCGACTTCTCGATAGCGCGCGCGAAGCCCTTCTGGTTGCCTGCGAGCACCTGATAGAAGAGATGCATGACATGGGTCAAATGGGTGCGTCACTGAGCGAGTCAGAGCGAGTCCAAAGAGGATTGATGTACAGCGCCAAGGCTGAGGCTTGGAAAACATGTGATGTCGATTTGTCGCATGTGTGACGCACGCTTCTTTGGGGAGGGTTCTATGGCCATGCTACACCTATATCAGTTCGATTCCTCTCGTATGCGGGAATCAAACACACCCCCGGATGAAAAGGATGTGACTCCAGTGCCTAAGACGAGGGCGAGCCCGCCGACAAGGGCGAGCCCGCGCTCTTCGTTGGATCTGAAGAAGTCCTGGGCGCCCTTCGTCCATCCATCATGGCGGGAATCCAGGCGTGCTGGCCCCCGTCATGACCCGAACACGGTGGAGATTTATAGGCTCTTGAGGCTGAAAGCAGGAGCAACGCTGCTCCCAAGTCAGAACAGCCTCTCCTCAAAAACCCCCAACGTCGGACACCAAGCAGTTCTTAGGCAAACTATAGGGGCTTCCATTGGTGGACCCCTTGGCACCTGGCTAGGGTTCCCCCGCGACTCCGCAGCTCTGAAGCTTCGGTGCTCAAAATGGGGAGGACTCAGTCTGTTCCCTGAATGGCTACAGCTGGACCCACAAAGTCAAATACAATGGAACAGGCCACCAAAATGCTACCAAACTTACATCATCATCCAAAAAACCGCTTTCATCGATCTCTTTGTGCTTCTCTCGCGGGGAACAAAAGCACCAACTCAAACTGCCTCGTTCCCGCTCCGCGGAAACCGCCCGTCCGACGCTCGCCCGCTCCGGATCTGAGGCACCGAGGCGAAGAAGTTCCGGTAGCCCACCTCGATGGCGGTGAGCGTCAAGCGCTCCGCCGTGTCGTCGTCGTAGACCTGCCTATAGGTGTCATGGGTCGAGACCGCGACCGGGTGCGATGGGTGCGACGCCGTGGTCTGGGGGGGGGTTGAAGGATAAAGATGGTGGCGCGCAGAGGGAAAAGGGTCGGAACAAATGAAATGGAGGGTTCAGTGGAGTGAAATCTCACCAAGACTCATTCAAGTGCTATCTTGTGTTAAACTCCCCAGTGGAAGGGTCGCGTGGAAGATTATAGAAGGGTTATCGAGGAGGAAGCACAACATGTTCTATGTTCAGAAACCCACGGCTTCTTCAAAGTGTTCCAGGTCAGTGACCCCTTCAAGTGACAAAGTGGCCAACCAACCATTGTATCCCAACATCGCTCTGGCACACCCCTCCATTCCCCGCATTTCAACTCACCGTTTTCGGATCGCGCACGGAGCAACAACCCCCGTTTCGGTAGTTGATGCGGATCCCCATCCAGCAACTTTACTCGTGAAGAAGGGCCGCGCGGGTTTCGCGCGGCAGTCTGCCCAACTGGGCGCTTCTTTGGTAGCTGGGCTAGCCTAGTCTGGGATCATGGGGATCCAGTGTGCATCTAATCGCATGGGGGTATTCATTTCTAAGCGGCCACGAAAATTTGGTTTCAGTAAGGGTGCAATTTACACCCCAATCGCATGCAATACGCCAGGAAGGTTAAAAGATTGGTACCTCAGGCCATGAGGTGGCACTTCCAGGCAAAAAGCGGCAAGGATTAAGATTAATAGCAAAAGTAGTTGCCGCAGCTTCTAATACAGGTCATGTGCTGCAACAGATCAGGCATTTGAAACAGCTGTGGGCTATCTAAACAGCCCCGTTCACATGCAGCATGCACCATGGATTCCTGTACAATTCCCTCACGCTGCTCCGGGTGTTCGTGGTGCCACTGACATATATCCTGGGCGCCGCAGGGTTCAGCGGACTCCCAAGCATGGCAACTGATTCGCCCGTCGGAGAGATGTATGATTCGCTTCATTCTTGGATGATGAATCTTGTTGCCAGTCTAGCCTAACTAAAGTTGGATAAACACAAACATCGAGCAACATGGAAGGTCGATGTTGGATGAACACAAACAGCTTGCACTTTGGTGGACTCTTTGGTCACTTTCGGTTGAGGAAGCCTTGGGAATGATGGGTGGCCAGCCATGCCTCTGGGAAAAAGAAAGAGTCTTTATCTACCACCCTGGGCTTTGCGCGGTTTTGCATGGTTTTGCTGGACTGGTACTCAATCAAGGGGTAGACCATCTATGCCTTGCTGCTTGCTCCCCTGCAGTGGCCTCAATCACCCCTTTTGCCATCCCTGGCCCAGCTGAGGTGGATTTCCATCCTGGCCGCCCCCGTCCTGGCTCAGGATATCGGAAGCCCAAGAGGTTCGCCTGTGACGGTGCGGCACTCCTTCTTGCGCCCTGGTTTGGTTGGAAGAAGTACTGTATTTTTTGGGGTGGAGGAAGAAAGGAAGCATCGTTAGACCTGTGTTCAGGTTTCTGGTGTTTTTCATATTCATCTGTTAGTATTAAGTGTGGATGAATCACACACACACCGTACTTGGGTGGTCAAGCATCTCCAGTCCTTAATTCATCAACCCCCCTCAGCGGCTCTTGGAGCACTGTAACAGGAACATACATCTGCTGAACAGGGGGTCCCCTGTCTACCAGCCCCTATCATGGTTTTCATCGGTGGTGTTGGTAAGAACATGGCCCACGAACATGGCCCACCCACCCCACACATCTGCTTTTGGTTTCTCCAAGTGCCAGCCTTTGTGGTTGGCGTAGGTGCCCACCTCAGATCGTCTCTCTGCTGAAGACTGGTGACTAAAGACCCCCCAAAAAGGTCTCCAAGCTGAGTCGGGGTGTAAATGCGTTCCCGCCAGGTCAACACTGACATGTGAACTGGTGGAGCCTGGCGGAGTGTACCCGCTGGGGAGCCAGTCTTTCTCATCGGAAACGCCGGAAAAAGGGATCTTTGATGTGGTGAAACATCTGAGCTTGCCCAAAATGAATCATCAAGCCAATCGCACGAAACATAGTATATGGATATGATATTTGTATATATATATATATGTGTGTGTGTGTGTGTTTATTATGAATGATGCAAAGCCATACAATGCCTGTTCAATACCTATTATGCCTTTAAAACATGGGGGAATGTATACTGTTGACAAAGATGAGATGGTCTTGATCAACAAGCGCAAGCAGCCCCTGCCGCCATTTAAAAAAACAACTATGCATACTATGGACGTATGGGAGAAGGTCCTGTCCTATATAAGTCCTATAAAATTGTAAAACCCTTTGTTTCCAGTAAGGCCACCCAAACAGAAAAGGATCTGGAAAGGGCACAATCAAAATACCAACTAAAGCCACACAAGGGTGGCAAAAAAAGGGTTGGTAGTATAAGAAGGAATCATGAGTCGATGAGTAGAAACTCCGTTAAGAACCTTTGGAGCCTGACCAATGTGTGTTATTTACGGGCGTATGTTGGACATACGAGGTCGGGATTGGAGGTGTTGCATTTTGTAAAGGTGCCTCCTGTTAGGCAGCCCGTTGCGAGTGTGATCATTTGTTGAGTGAGGCTTCCTTTACTTACCTTGGGACAATTTGCATCCAATGAATTACAGTAATCGCACCAATGGTGTTTGATCTTACTACCACCAGGGAGCTGTGAAAAAAGGTAGACAACGCTGCACCGGCGTGTTGATGTCTTGATATGTCTTGTCACCCCCAACATCCATCCAACATCCGCATCCGCCAGATCCGCAGAACAACGCCAGACATCGCTGGGCGCCCGACATCGCCAGACCCGGTGGGCCCTGCTCCATGCGCACGGCCACCTGCCGTGCCTGTAAGAGCGTCGAGCGGTCGATGGGCACCTGAGCCGATGCCGGGACCCGATCATGGGAGGTGTTCGTGACAAGGGTATAGGACCCTAGGGCTCCAAGTACCCTCTGAAAAGGTGTTTAGGGTGGGATTGGGAGGGTCCAAAGACCTTCTTGAGCCCTAGGGGGATGACAAAGGAAGGATCAGGGAAGGGACCATCGATATCTCATTTTGGGCACCATTTGTCATGTGACACGAGGTTACGCAGAGTTACACCAGCCCTCCCATCCATTGGCTTGTGCTGTAACACAACATGGAAGTAGTCTTCAAACATTCCATGTTTCATGATGTACCCCTGTGTACTGCACACGGGTACGGTCCGTCACCTGTGATCTCCTGCGTGGTGGTTTGACAGGTCACCATCTATTAGCACCAACCTCTCAGAATGTCTAAACAGTCATGCTGAGGCCTGAGGCAAATGGAACATGATCAATGACGCGCTAAGACCTTAAGAAAACCCGACACTATAGAAAAACATTATTGTACACTATAGAAAATATATGTTATATATACACATACATATATTAAGGGTCACTAACTGGGTCACCATTAGGACCTCTCCCACATCGGGGGCCCTGGCAGGTGTCGTCGGCAGCACGGAGACGGGCGAAGTAGGCCTCACTGGAGAGGCGCTCTGGTGGCATCTCGGCTGAAGCCTACAGGTCCAGTCTGAGAGTCCGGAAAACCATCATCCAAAGACTCCATACAACTTGGAACTTTTACATCCTTCTACCATCTCTTGATGAGTCGTGCTTCTTGTTGTATGATCAACTCCAGTCCAAAAATGTCAACATGAGATCTTAGACCTTTGATGATGACAGACTGCTTCCTGACGGTGTAGCTTTCCTGACGCTTGTCTTCTCCCCTTAGACCTCTTAGGTCACCGGCGTTCGATCCGCCAATCCGCCCTGTCATCCAATTCCGACCCCGGAGGTCGGGCCCCGGCCAAAATCCACCGGGAGCGCGGTTGAAGGTCACCTGGCGCTCCCGGTGGAGCGAAGAACATCTTAGACCTTAAGAACCTCCCGGATTCGGTGGAACTGGCGTTGCGTCGGCTCGTTTCGGTCGGAGAAGGACCGGTCGGAGTCACCCGCGCCGGGCTTTCCAGGGACGGCACCTTGGTTCGGGGCGCGAGAACGCTAAGCGGTGAGCTGTGCGTTTTGTGAGGCAAATGCTGGGGTCGTGAAGTACTCCAGATCTTCCAAGGATGGAAACTTAACATAATTTTTGTTCTATGTTGGATGTGCCAACTCACGTCAAGGGTACGAGATGTTACGAGTGTCTATAGTTTCATCATGTTCTATCGACTTCTACTTGAGCTTTGATATTCCACTATGACTATGACTCCTAATTGCATGTTTACATCTGTGGAGAACCTCAACTGGACCTCCAATAGATTGCAATACCAAGAGGTGCCCAATCCTTGATGAATCGCTAGGAGGTTGGAGGCCATCGCTAGTAGGGTGGAGGCCATCGCTAGTAGGTTGGAGGCAAGACCTGGGAATTTATATAACTTAATTGGACTCCACTCCACTCACAGATTCACTGATTCACTAGAGACATGATTCCTCAAAGTTGGATGTTGCACCATGTTGCACCTTCACCAGTTCATTACTTATTGCGCACTATAGTTGTTCCTCAGATCCGATCCTCAACCACCCGAAGCGGCGCCTCCCCGGTTGTCCTCCCCGGTTGTCCTCCCCGTTCGGGCGGCCGCTGCGGGCACCGTCGTCTTCGGTGTTGAGAGGGCGGCCATGGCCACCGAGGTGGCCACCGAGGTCCTGGGCGCGGAGCACGGAGGTCGCCGAGAAGTGAAGAAGGTGAGGGTCTCGGGGCTGGTGAGGGTCTTGGCCAAATGTTGGAAGAGGTTGGAGCCCTTTGGATGTTGTTGCTGACCTCTGTAGTGTAGAAGGTTGATGAAGAAGATGTGTAAAAATATCTGACTAGGGGCTTATTCATCAACAGTCTACATTACATCCCCAGAAAGAAGTCTACGCCCTGCATTACTCAGCCCCAAGTGAAAATAGCTTCGCAAAGAAAGGTTGGAAGCTGAAGGAGTGTGAAGTCCACCTTATACATCTCTTGGCATTATCCGTCCGTTTAGGGTACGAATGATGTGTGAAGGATGTTTTGGACCTGGATCGAGTAGGATAACATGCGCCTACATGCGCCACAAAGAACCTCGCCTGGACGAAAACTGCCCCCACTGCGCTGGTTCAACTGAAGAAGTCTCACTAAAGAATTCAGTGGAACCATATTCTGGGGGGGTGGCATCTAAAGAGGGACTAAGCCTACAACATCATCCCGATTCTCATCATGCTCCTGTCACTGTCTCCCAGTGCTTTCGCGCCAAAGCACCCCATCCCCGTGGGCGTGAACCCGGTGGAGACCGGCGAGGGCAACGACCTGGAGACCAAGGAGACCCGCATCGGCCTGGGCGAAGGAGCTCGGGGCCGGAAGATGACTGGAGTTGGGGTCGGCACTGGGACGGCTGGATTTGGGGCTAAGGACGTGCAATCTCTGAAATCATGGACATGGAACAGCTTCAGCCTCTGGAAGAGGATGTTCCTCAACTACGGTGGGGTCAGGGCTCTGCTTCCATGATGGTTTTTGAGGGTAGACAGTCCAGGGCTCTCAAGGCCAAGCCACGTCTGTGGTCCTGTGCAAGAGAATCTTCAACGATCTCTGTTGAACCAAACACATACACTCTCATGTCATGCAAACTGAATGAAGTGGGAAACGGGATTTCGTGAAGGAAATCCGGCGCCTCAAAAATACATTGCTGGTACAGCTAACAACGCCTGATATCACATGAATGCACATGAACTCATCTTTCCTCAATCTATTATGCCCAAATCCTGGCTTTGCCACACCCAGTGGTCGACTGCCCTCATAACCACACACAGCCCAGTAGCGAAGCCAGTGGCGCTCGGATCGTGGTTGTGGTGTAACGCACCTCGCCATCACTCGGGCCAGGTCGGGATCCATGACTCCTGGATACTCATGGGGTTTCAAACATCGCAGGGAGTCAAAAATTGAATTTGAATGAATTCGACATGATTTCACCACATTCACCCCTGAATATATACTGTCCTATGGAACCTGGCGGGCTTTCCAACACCAACTAGGTGTTTGGGCGTCAGATGTTCGTTTGGCAATGTTCCGATTCTATCCGTCGGAGGTTGGTGTTACTTAAGTCTGTGGCTCACAAAGAGTCAGAGCAACAGGGTCACCCCCAAAATAAACATCAGGTCTTGGTCTACTTGTCCAAGCTCCTTCACGTGGCCTTTTTCGTCTCGGTTTGGGACTTTCGCCGGGTCACAACGAACACGTCACTTTGGTTTGAATGGAACACCTCCTGTTTGTAGAGGACAAAATGTCGTTGCAGGGAACCTTTTCCCCTTCCGTGCAATGCTGGGCGGATGTCTTCAGAGTGTACGTCGTCCAACCCCCCTTTGTTTCCCCTTCGGGCTGTAGACAACAGGCTGCTACGCCCGAAAAAATCACTTATTAATTAAGAAGACGATCAAAATAGCAATTTTGTTGATTGATGTTGTTGTAGGACTCGCAGGAATTCGGAATGCTCATCAATGAAGACACTTGGCATGTGAAGTTCCACAAGGCAAGTGTAGATTTCTTCCTGAAACGGTGAACTCTGGTGGTAGTGACTAACTCCAGGATTGCTGAAACACACCAGCTTTAGGAACATCAAAAAGGAAAAACAATATTGAAATCACGGTACCGCTTGACTTGCTTGGGTGCCATGTGCATCTGCCATGTGCATCGACTTCGCACTTCCCAACTTCCTCATCCGACTTCCCCAGCCCGTTCCCCCGGGTCCACCGGGCCGTGGGCGACATGCGCGTCAGGTTCGCGGGGACGGCGGTGCCAGGAGTCTCGTCCGAGTCGTCGAACCTGGGTCGGTCGAGACGACGAAGACATCGGTGACGTGGATGGCATCGCTCCGAACACATCGAGAGGACCATGGTCCGAAGACCATTTCGCAGGTGCTGAGCTCCACTGGTCAAATGGTTGTGTGGAAACGTGTGATTGGCAGTCATGCGCCGGCACACTTGTCGCAGTGGGCAAGGGGTTCCCTCGCAATGCGAGACCGTCGTCAGCCCACACCTCCCGCAGCCTCTGAGACACAAGTAGCCCAATGTAGGTCAACAATTTAATTAGTGTTTGGGAATTGCTTGTTGCAAATGATTGGCAGCAATCGACTAAGTACAGTGTCCTTCAGAGCAAGGCGGACAAGATCTCGGCAGCAGCCGTGATCAGGAGGGAAGTATAATTATATACTTATTCTTCCGCTGGAGATGAAGTTCAACAGGTTTAAACCTGAAAAAGAAACCTCAACATGAACGTGAATGGTGAGATGAATGTTTGGAAAGTTTGGGAAAAACGGATTTGCATATCATTCTGCGGGCCAGCGTTTGCTTCGCATTAATGTGACTGCTATTGCAGGGACCCATGGGGGGCGCTTGATCCATGAACATCCAACGCTTCAAGGACCAACGACGCCTCAAGGACCAACGTCCGAAGCAAAGCACAGGGCTGCTGCTGAACCAGAAGAAACCGTTGCACGGTCTCCTTCTGACTCTCAGAGCCGGCAGCACATGAGATTCGAAGCCGGAGGATCCACCCGATCCACTTCTCAGGAGCTGCATGTTGGTGTCGGCCACAATTCCTCTATGGCGATTTTCGGGCGCTCTAGGATTTGCAGGTTGCCTTTCTAGAGCCCGCAGTCGAAGAAACGTGATTGAAATAGACTTCGCTCAGACTTCCCTCACCCTTGCCTTTTGCTGTCATCACGTGGTCTTTCACGCTTGTAAGGGCAACTTGTTCTTTTCTTGCATTTTCCACACGCCTGGAAATCAAAGTCGGCACCTTTCTTGTCGGGTTTTTGACAAAATGTTTATGTTTGAGCAGCAGGAAGTGTAGTTTATGAATGTAATGTTTGTTGAAATCAACATTGGGCTCCATTGGAAAGACAAGGTTTCCCATCTGTGGCTAAGGCCAGCTGCATCGGAACAAGTCAAGAAGCGAAGTGGCCGCAGATTGACACGCGTTGGATGGACCACTGCCCGCACTCAAATGCACCCACAAACAACTGACAACCGCGGAGGAGTCAACCAGGAGAAGCGAAAACGGTGACAAAAACTCAGACTCACCATGCAAGCCTGGCCTGACCCAACTTCCACGGGCACCCCTCGACCAACCTGCAGCTCGACCAGCCTTCATGATGTTGCCTTTGAGATCACGAGCTTGTGGCTGCATTGCGGCCGCATCGGCATCCATGTCGCAAAAAACTGATGGCAAACACAGCACGCACAAGTCCGACCATGATAGCCAAAACATGTAACAAGTTGCTCAATTTCTCCCATCTGGACCGATGGACCAACATGAGTTCTTGCAAGATAAAGTTGTTGCCTTCCCAAGGCAGCCATGGACGGCCATCGGCAAGAAAAAACATGTCCACATCCACACGAGCCACACTGCTGCTGTGCTTGAAGCACACAGAGAAGCCCCAATAGCTCAAGAAATTTGTTTAGTTTATTTGATCTGACCCATTGCGTTGCTTGAGTTGTCATATATTTCCGCGGTTATTTATACACCTGCTGTTGCGTTGTTTCTTTAAGAACCATTGCGGTTGCATCGTCATATATATATATATATACGCCTGAGAACTGAGGGAATGAAAGCCAGAGTCTGTAAGAAGACATCAACATGGCAATGGGGGGTGAAGTCGAGAGCGCACTGGAACAGTGTCAAGAATGGGGAAATAGCAGTGGGGAAATAAAAGTAGGCTATTAAAAGGCAGAGGTGGAGAGTCGTAGAAAAGGTGGGGGAGTGGGGCGCCCCTGCTCTTGTTGCCCAAGGGGCGTTGTGAAGATAAAAAGGCACCCCTAAGTAACGGAGGGCGTTGGCGTGCTGTTGCTTTGTCTTGTGTCGCAGATAGACTGTCTCATATAGTCGGTGCGCTGCTAAGAGTGGACCGAGGAAAGGTTACTGCTGAGATCATGCAAGGACTTTGGGGAGAGATTGTCGTTGTTATGGGGGGATGTCGACATAGCAGTGATGCTACTGCTGTTGGAAAAAGAAAGCAGAAATAAGCAGAATGAAAGCAGAAATAAGCAGAATACATGGGTTAGGGGGGGTACACTTTTTTCGCCCGGCTCTAGGGCGTTTTGAAGCTGAAACAACCTCAGGGGCGCTTTCCCGCTGATTGTTGTTCGCGTCCTGTAGATGGAATCAAAGACTTGGCGCGCAAGATCAAGTGATTGGCTAAAATGGAGCAAAGAGTACCTTTATGGGGTGAAGTTGACATCGCAGCCAGCGCTCAAGAAGAAAACAAAGCTTCCGAGGCGGGTGGAGTCTGCTAGATTTCTTTTGCATACCGCAAGAGCCGGTCACATTGTCTGTGAGAAGAGCTTTGGCCGACTTTGGTTGGTTCCACCCGGTGCGTCTCAAGCACTGAGGCGGACATGTGCAATAACTTTTCGCGTCCCGTTGTCCCCTCTTTCCTATCATCGACATGAACTCCCACCCCTAGCCCACCCCTAGTAGAAGACGGTTTACATTGCCTCCTGAGCTCCTCATAATGCTAATGATGCACTGTTCGCCGTCAATTGCATCACTTGCATCACAGCTACACCCCAAAAACTATCAATGTTCAATCTCAAGCGTGCCTGCCTCTTTTTTCGCTCTCCCCCACCAGGCTCTGGGTTAGCCCTCCGAAATCGGCCCGTGTGCGACCACCCCCCCACACCCCCTTTACTCACTTCGTTCGCTCAATCCAACTTCAGCCTAGCCTATCGGCTGGCTTTCGTGATATAAATATAATATACTATAATTTATATATATAAGTATATTTGCGGCGGATGTGCACGTCGTTCTTGTCCTAATTCGGTGCATCGGGCGCCAACCACGACGACCTACCGGTTGTGTTGGCGCCCGAACTTCGATCGGAGGAAGATCATGCATGCCTTGTTACTAGATGCTACTAGTAGCTTCCTGCTACTAGTAATGCCAGGAGCTAGTAGCTGCTTGTTCCTAGTAGCGATGTCCTTTGTTACTAGTAGCTTCATGCATCCCTTGTAAAACCTCTACATCCTCCATCGGATTCATGGCCCTCCGCAGTTTTGTGGCGGGCGCATTCGGAGGCGTTTCGGGTACGCTCCGCATGCGCCGTTGCTGGTGGGGCACGTTTGGCCTTGCGGTTTCTGCAGATGTGGACACCATGCTGCCTGTTGTATCGTGAGGGGGGATTCGGGTGGGCAAGGGGGGTATGGTGCCGGTTGTTTACTGACTGCTATTTTTAGGAGATTGAGAGATCCAGGAAACTGATTGAAGAAACTCTAGGATTCACAAGGACCTTCTGCAATTTATTGTGAGCATAGCCCGAATCCCTCCTCCTCTGCACCACCACCGGCACTGACACTATATGCTCACTATATACCTACACCCGTCGATACTACCTGCCGCAAAGCCAACACGAATGATCTGCTATCGACTCCAGGAAGGATGGATGCTGGCCAGTTCATCCCGTTCTCCCTCTGCTCAGACGCGCTCTCCTCAGCGCTCGACGTCAGGGGCGCTGGTGCTGGTCGACGTTTGCTGGGGGTGCCTGGAGGCAGTGGATGCGCCGCGAGCGCCCCGCCCCTGGGTGGCCCGATGTCGCATGCGAAGCAAGTGGCCAAAGAATTGGCAGGGCTCTACGAAACCTGACAACTCCCAGGGTTGAAGATGGTTGAGGCTCGCGTTTCAAGTGGAGCCTCAGGTGTCAGGCAGGATACAGACCGGTGACATACCTCATCAAATTCTGATGAGAAGCCAAGGTCGACCTCTCTTGCTGCAGCGTCCCACCTGGAGAACTGGAGCGGTCGCGAGCTCCGTCCTGGAGTCATGTCGGAGAGGATCCGCCCCGGAAACAGGAGCCGAGCCTTGACGGGTGAGGTTGTGAAGAAAGAAAATTGAGGAAATGCTGGATGTCCAAAAGCGTAGCATTTTGTTGATTCAGAGGGTTTAGAGGTACCCGGAAACCATCTTAGTCGGTCTAAAGACCACCAGGAAGTTCCTGGTGTGGCTGGAATGCTCTTGGGGTGTCGGGCCTTTTGCATTCTCGTTCTAGACTGGCCACAGCCCAAAAGTGTGCTGTTGGAGCGGCCACCTCAAGACAAACCCCAACTTCTGAACAAAAAAAAAACTGGATAGGTGATAGGTAAGCATAGGTAAGCTATATAGTTGGACTGCCAAACGCCATATGATTGCCCGTGGCAGCTATACAGAAATATCTGACCCACACGAGGAGGTGGGTGACTGGCTGAGATTGTCCGCCCCTTCCGGCCGAATCCCAGATGTATCCGGATCCCAAGATCGACCTGATCCGCTGGGGCTCGACTCTCCCTCCGACCCCGGGGGACCTCTTCACCAATTTCCTGCGCCGCGACCTGGTAAACACGTCGCGCTCATTGTGGACGAAAGCGCAGACCGGTGTGTGAGAAACGTGAGGTTAGGTGATCGAGGGAGTGCAGGCTCCGTAAGTAGCAGCACACAGGCAGGTGCAAACATGTTACATCATGTTGCACCAAAGCACCTAAAGCCCCAACATGGACCCTGTTTGATGGGATTTGGGTCCAATATGTTGGGTGGCTAGTCCCAAAATCAAGCTCCTTTTTGCTTCTATAGGCATCCATCCATTGGCGCGTTTCATCCTGGATGTTCCATGATGTTTTTCATTAAAATTCCGGATCCGCCCGAAGATGGTGACACCAATGGGTTTCATGTTCATGGTGACACCAATGACTTCAGTGGCAGAACCTTCATTGGTGACACCTTTGCCCCCGCGCATCTGCCCGAAGCACACCTTGGAGGCCATCGCAGTCGTCGCTGTCAGGGGCAGAACGGTCTGCGGACCTGGCGATGGTGGTGGAGCTGTCCCGGTGGATTCCCATGTTTGCCGGCTTCCCCCCATGGAGCCCAAGTTACTAGAAGCAAGAAGCTACTAGGAACAAAGGGCATAACTATTAGCTTGGAGGCCATTACTACTAGTATCAAGAAGCTACAAGTGTTTTTTTTGGTAGCTTCTTGCTACTAGTAGCATGGCCAGGAGCTACTAGTAGCTTCTTGCTCCTAGTAGCTTCTTGCTCCTAGTAGCGATGCCCTTTGTTCCTATAGTAGCTTCTTGGTGGGTACTATGGTGGGTATATAGGCATACAGTATACAGTATAGGTGAAGATGAAGGGAAAACCTGGTGCCATGACCCAGCTGCCGGTCGACTGATCTCAAGCACAAACGGAATTCGACGGAATTGACATGACTCAACCAAATGTGATATGAGTGATATGATGTGATAATGTCGTGCTCGCCTGCGAGGTTGAAGGCGAAGTTCGTGTTGAGAAGGCCTCGACGAAACCGAGAGCGAGCGATTTGGGGGAGAGTCGTAGAGCGAGCGATTTGGGCATCCAAACCAACAGAAATCAGCAGAACAAGTCCACTCTCACAACTCTTGGTTCAAAATTCCTCAGATGTTAGGACGTTCTTCCACATTTTGCATTTTGCTTGCTTTGGACACAAAACAGCACCTGAACCAAGCAATGTGCTCTGCTCGTACAAGTTGGGCAGCGGTTGCATCGGATAGCCTTGGCCAACTCGCAGGTTTCCCTGGACACCCCATGGCGGATCCATCAGTAGTTTCCCCGGAAATCCTCCTTGGCCTAGAAAGCTTTAGGACTTCTGGCACTGGAGTCCACGTGCCCCCCCCAAAGAAGCACAGAAAACGGTCCCGTTTGTGGCGCCCAAAGAAACGCGCCGAACCGCCGCTCGTGACCCAGGCGCCATGTGGCGCCCGTCCGGGTGGGTCGGTCCTCTGGGGTGACTGACCAGGTACTTCAACCTTGCCGGCGGGCTTTGTCACGCCATGGACCTGGAGCTGCAGCGTCCTACTACGGTCTCGTGGGGGGGGGTGTGGGAGGTGGGAAGGGGGTTCAACTGGTTCTGGGCAACGTTGGTTGGAGATTTGTGGCGTATATGATGGGTGCCACATGTTTCACCACATGCAGCGAAAAGACCTCTCTGTGGCTGATAGACTCACACAAGAACATGTGAAATGGTCTCCAAACAAACCAATTCCCGTAAGTGCAACTTAGTCCGACCCTATATAGTATATTAGTGTGGACTACGGAATTTACAGCAGTTGTGGTGCCAGACTGTTCGTCTAGCACCACTTTATCAGTTTAGCCCCCCATAACAAAAAATCATGGTCCTCAGGTGATGAGCCATCGTCAGGCTGAGAGTATCTGCAAGATTCTGCAACTGCAAGTGTGCTGCCAGCTACGGACAGGATTCTCTGCAAGCTCCAAATCTGAGCTGCCGACCACCAACCGACCTCAAGTCAGCCCACGATATACGCACTGCGCAGCGCGGCTGGCAAATAAGGTTGATCGTTGATTCATGAAAATCTCCCATGTGGAGATGACAAACCATCTAGGCGGGGGAGTTTGAATCCACGGTCAACATGATCTATGTAGAATGGTCATGAATAATCTAAGCCCTATGCGTCCAAGACTTATATAATTGTTTTAAGTTCGACTTAGGTTCGCAGCCTCGACTTAAAAGTGTACTGTTTAGACATACCGCGGCACGATCCCCTTTGGATGGTAGCACGGGGTCTGAAAGCCAGGAATCAACAGCGCATGGAACATAATTACGGTTATATAAATAAGTTCAACACATTTATTGGCAAATGTTGTTTAATTGCTACTGCACATACTGGATTTATACTCGCATGTTAGTATCTGTGACGCATGCGGATCTTCTTGCCCATTCGGACCAAATGAACAGTGGACTGACCATGGACAAACCGTGGAACGACCTGAAAAAGGCATGGAACGACTTAAAAAAGTCGTGGAAAGACTTAAAAAGGTCGTGGACACCACCACCCCTGAGGATCCACTTGAAACATGTTTTACACAGCACTGTCCACGAAAAAAGTCCACACAAAGGATGAACAGATTGGTTTCGTGCCCGGTGAAAGGATTGGAAAACGGCTTGACGATTTGAGACTATGTACATGCACATGCGAAAACATGGGTTGAAGCTTTATTTGATGCTGCTCAGATCACTTCAACATGACATATGTAGGTTCCAGGAAAGGTCAAATACAGCGACTCTTTTAAGTCTTTCATTCCCAGTTTAAGTCTTTGCTCGAAGACTTAGATTTTCCAAGACATTGGAAGTTTAGGGTAAGCATGAATTGAGATCTCAACATCGCCCAATCACCACATCTCCACATCTGCCTCGATAGATTCTGAGAGAAGCTCTCACCTCCTGTCCTCCCGCGAAGTCCCGGTGCGCGCACACGCGCAGGGTCGGCGCCGTCTGCACCCCGGGCCGTCTTTCGTGACGGTGGGCGGCGGCATCCCCGGCCTCCGACTCTGGCGAATGAGGGCGTACGGGGGAGCTCGAAAAGTTCTAATATACCGTGGCCCTGGCCTGGAAGTCCAAGACTAGTTTAAAACATGGTCTTTAGGTCACCGGAAAAGGATGAGCCTCTTCTTCAGTGGTGCAAAAAGTAAGGGCCCCCCAAGAAGGGGTCTATGAATAGCCTCCTTGGGTTCCTTGCAAGGCTTTTTTCCTCAGGGGCGTCTATGAACCACCCCTTGGGGGTCTTGGTATTTACACACCTCCGTGGTTTGCCGTGTGATTCCGCAAACTTTGCCCTCTCTCTCTCTCTCTCTCCTTCCGTCTCAATTCCCTTCAGACAAATCGGCGTCCGCTAGACCAACTGGCCCTTCTCTCGGGACACCCGTGCCAGATAACAATATTAATAATTCAGATCGTTGCAAATAACCCTTCCATCTTTCTCGGCTCCGCACTTCTGCTGCAACAGCTGCGCTTGCACCTCAAATGCACCGTCCCTTGCGGCCCACCGCGACCCGTCATCGCCGCCCCCCCCTGCGGCCCCACGCGCCGCGTCCGACATCAGTGGCCCGGACATCGGGATGGAGCTCTTCAACGCCGTGGGCAAAGGTGCAGGTCTGCCGTGACAGAAACGGGACAGGCCAGGTCTGCCGCCCAGCGATCGGCGGGTGGGGGTTGGTTCTTCTTGACAATTATTTTTGAGCCATGGAGAAGAGCGGTTGGAGGTGTATGCTATAGTCGCAAGCGTTTGCCATGTTTGGCAGGAGTGCTGCAATCCTTGCGATGAGGGATACATCTACCCGGACACTGACATGGGAACTTTGCTGGACAAGCCCTGGTGGCAGACCAGAGGAGGACATTACCAGGACATGTAGGAATGTAAGAAAAGCAAAAATGAACTTGGATGAACTTGGGTCTACCCAAATCACACCCAGTGAATGACGGTTCGCATTTACCCAAACATAGGGACGAGATGTGACCAAACCCCCGAAGTCATCTCCCCGTTTCACCTCCAACAGCCCAGCTTGGGCGGCTCGCCCCGCTCTGGAGATAGTTGGGGCCCTCTAGAACCAAGGTCTGGAACCAACCTCTGGTGATCTCTGAAGTACATAGAATGGCTGAATCTATAGAATACTATAGAACCAACCTTCTGTCTGCACCGTGCGGCAACATCTTGGGCATTCCAATCAATCAAATGAACATTCCAAATGCATTCACTACACATTACATACGTTCCTTTTGCATCCTTTTGCCCTGTTCTATCTACATTGCTATCTGCGGAAGACAAGAAAAAGAAAGACCTTGCGGGTTTCACCAGTCGCAGTGTCACTTCCATTGACTGGTGAAGAAACGCCCGCCCCGTCAAAGTGGATTGAAACGTCGAGTCAGTGCGAATCAATAGCTTCTCCAGCTTGTCTCAGGGAGAAGCACTCGTCCAACACACTTGTCATGTCAAGAAAGATTGGGTGAGGCTCATGAACATCATGAACTCTTGAGTCCCTAACGTTACAAAAAGTAGCGGCCTCCGGTGGCCTCCACACAAGCAAACATCTTGCGATAGGGGCCTCCGCTTTCTTGCACCATCCCTGCAGATTCCAATGGTTGCACAACCTCCGCAAGCGCTGGATGGAAGATGATGGAAGGACTGCCACACACCTCAGTCGCCTCACTCCTCACTTCACAGCCAACAGAAGGATTCACTACACAAGTACAAGTACTTGGCAAACTAGCGCTTCCCAATCACACGTCACATCACTCTCTCACACTGTTTCTAGGATTAGGGAACACTTCACATGTGCCCCGTCCCGACTCCACCGCCAAACCACCCCGAAGCCTCCAACCCCAAGTGCACCGCTCCCTGGGACCGCTTGTCCGGACACCGCTCGCGCCTGTGAGGCATAAAGTGGCCAGGAAAGCGCCTTGGCACCTGCACCAGGCGACCGAGCGAGGGTGATCAAACCAAGGAGCGCGAGAAATCAACAAGTCCGGGATTGTGGTACCATAACTGTGCTCTTGCTAGGCTTGGAACAAGACAGGCATGTCCTCTACCATGTGGATGCGGATCTTGAGGAAATGCTTGTGAAATTGTGTCATCTGCTCCTCTGCTTCTAAGTCTGGGGGTGTTCATGTCGCCCGCCTGAACTGTCTGTAACACCTGCGCCTGCGGGGGCAGAAAATAAGTTCCGGGTCCTGCCAGCACTGATGAGCGAGGCAAATCATTAATCACATGCTACTGTTATTTAGATACACTCCCTGGAATCATCATGAAAATCGAAAACTGTCATTGTAGAGGAATATGATCATCGAAGAGGCCATTTTTCGCTTCCACGATTCCTAGCATAGGGAGTGTGCAGTTCATCGACCCGCATTCAGCAAGCGCTGCACCGGTCTACCGCGATCGTGACGTTTCGCTAAAAATGAAAATCCACCAAGGGTTCAGTTCGTTTCTTACAACTCTAACTACTACTCTGACTCACTAACATTGAACTGGGAAATGGCCATCATTTTCTTCTATAAATCGTTGTCCATTTCCATGTTAGTGAGTCGGAGTGTACCCCACTAGTGAACACTTAAAGCGCTGCATTCGCGAAAGTAAGACACGTTTGTTCGCGAAGACGTGCGACCACGCAACTCGATCGGCTGCATGGCCTCCGGTCAGAACGGCGGAAGGGGCACGGTATACCGAGAATCCGGTCGCACCGGCGCAATGAGAAACATTCATTCCCACCCTTCCCTGCCTCTAGGATGTCTCCTTTTCCGCCCATCACTGGTTTTGATGTTGAACATGTTGTAACTGTTTAGCTACTGGGAAGTTTGTTGATCATGCCCGACAGGTCTTGGAAGCAGGTGTTGGAAGCCTAGGAACTGGTTCTTCGCTTTGTACGGGGGCGAGCCATCACCCTGCTGCGCTCTCCTGCCGCCTTCGCATGGGCTTTCCCACTCACCTGCACGTGATCCGAAGAAGGGCTTGAACCGGACTTCTCAAGCTGAGAGAACAAAGTGGAATCGACACGGAACGATGACAAGAAAACAGGGAAACCATCCAAGTCCTTGCCTTTTTCTTGTTCTTTGCATCGCCAGACTTCACCTTACAGCAGCAGCGACGATCAAGAATATCACAGAGCGCAAAAAAAAACATCACCCGGTTCGGAAAGAACTCCTGGTCAGGTCCGGTTCATCGGGACGTGGGTGTCGGCCTATAACAATGTTTGCACCTAGCTTTCAGGTGGGCCTATTCCGGATGAAGAGGTTCGCCAGGGCTTCAAAGCGATCAGAATGATCATGGTCTTGAACTTTACACATCGAGTGAGGATGGAATTCAGGAGTCCAAGTACACCTACACGACCGCCAACAAACATGAAAGCAAACGACCCCTTGCTCGTAGAAAAAAGGTCGACCAAGGGGTGCCAGTCCAAAAGATCAAACACCTATTATACTTGAACCGTTGGAAAACGGAACACCAACACAAACAACAACAAGAAACCAACTCTCAGTAAAGATCGCCGTGTCCGCGAAGTGGCAGCGGCTGCGGCCTTTTTATCACTTGAGCCAAAAGTACAAATGTTCATGAACTGTGTCTATACATATGAGGTGTACTTTACACAGGAAACTTCAAGTCCCCCCTCATAGTGAGATGAACATATGTACAGCTAGTATTCCAGGTCTGAGACAGTCGCTTCATTGCTTGAACCGTCTGTGACCTGACAATTCCTATCGAAAGACTGCAAGCTTAACCTAACAGGCTTACGAACGGCAGCTTGGGAGCGGCGCTTCAAGCAGCCAGTCACCCTTCATGCAAGTTTGGCGCTACGCTGGGCAGTAGCACTGTGCTGCATGCATTGTCATGACTTTCATTCGAGGCAGATCTAACTTAGTTTCGAGCTGCTGCTGGTTATCGCTTAGCTTTAACCATTTCATTCATTGCAGATCTAGCTTAGCTTTGAACTGCGGCTGACTATTGCTTAGCTCTAGTCATGCGAGCTCCTGCCTGCATCATAAGACGGGAGCGGACTCAGGGAGAACTGCAACAACTCCAAGGCATTTCCCCATTTGGACAACGGTAATCCTTTAGTAAACACGTCACCCTTTTGCTGAGTCGTTTCGATATGCTGGACAGTGATGTCATCAGCATTGTTGACTGTTTCGGCAGTTGAGGCCACATTTATGCGGTGGGTTTTACTCAAATGCCTTAATTTATTGGAGTAACCTTTCTGGATAATCGAGACCACAGCTGTATTGTCTTCGAAAACCTTCAGGGTCATTCCGGGGATCAACGCTTGCCATACCTCCAAGGTAGGAATCGCCTCGGAGAATAAGGCACTGGAAAGTGAGACGAACTCGCTCTCCGTGGTCGATCTTGCAACCACGCTCTGCCTCTTGGAACTCCAACTCACTGGCGCAAAGCTGGAGGGACCCGCAACTGCAAGGATGAATCCAGAGGTTGAACGCATGGATTTGATGTCACCACCGAAATCGGCATCGCAATACAGAGACAAGTTCAACTGCTCTGGCGGATCACGAATGCACATTATCGGGGAGTATTCATGGGTCTTTTGCAAGTACCCAATGAGTCTTGCGACTCTTTTATCGTCGTTGGCCGACCACACCGTAATGTGTTTCGCCAACAGAGTGACAGCAAATGTGACGTCTGGCCTGCTAATGCGACAGAGCCACATCAACTTCATAATTAATTTGGCCGAATGTGGCGAGAGCTGCCCCTTGATCTCGTCATCAGCAGGGATCAGGGCTCCATCGTCCCATGAGGGCGAGGAGTAGGCCTTCACCGGCGTTTTCGCCAGCTCTTCATACAATTCAACGCACTGTTTTGCGAAGTCAGATGATTCTAAGGCCACTGCTTTACTCCCTTGAAACCACACAAGCCTATGGTTTCGTCCTAAGACTCTTCCATATTCTGACGGTGGATCTAAATTTATATACTGCTTGAGGGTTTTCCAGAATCCTTCATGCTCGGAGGCTACTCCTGAGAGTGTGAGGTCGTCTACATAGACGCTCATCACTAGAGAACGACCGAATCGAAAAACCGAGGGCATCTCACTGAACTCGACACCGTTGAGTTTTTCTTGCAAGATTTTGGAAAGGTGGGCCTGCCAGTGCGCTGACGACTCTGGATGGCCATAAAGGCTCTTGTACAGCTGCGCGCACGGCATGTGGATGTGCTTCTTGGATTCTGGCACAAGCTCAGGCGGTAGCATCACAAATGTCCGATGCTTCGTGCCGAGTGCGGACTGAATGTAGGCCCGGACGCAATCGGATGTCGAACAAGTGTTTCCCTCAATCATTGAAAAGGCTATCACTGTGTTCAATGCTGCAATTGAACTCGGAGCGGAAGCAGCAAGATCTTGGAAGATGGCGCTCAAGCCCCCCTGATCCTTGACTGCGTCACCTCGGAAAACAATCCGAGCCTTGATCTTCCAGTCAGCTGGGTTCTTTTCATATCCCTTTATGCTAACTATTACCATTAGGGCTCCGAAATGCAGTGTTTCATTGGGAAATTCCCTGATCACGTCTGCCTTTGACCTAATCTCATCTTCAATCCAAGTCCCTTCCAAAACCAAACCATCTTTCTCGCTTTTAATGGCAAGGTAAACTTCTGGGCGACCCTTCCATTCAGCACGCTCTAACAGACGATGAACGAATGCTGGTGTTACAAACTCCTTACATCCACTCTCATGCATGAGGACAATGGGAACACATGGCATCCCTTTGACAACATGCTGCCGGTGTGAATGACTCACGCGAGGTGTGCACGGCATGCAAAACACATGAGCATTGATGACATGTGGAAACAAAGCATGCAACATGATCTGACAAAGAGGCTCTGGGTAGAAAGCTGAGTTTCGAGTGTACTTCCCTTCAAGGGGTGCATGCTTGTCATGCGTGCACTTCAACATTCCCAAAGAATCAGCTAACCTCTTATTATTCGTGACAAGCCTCCACGGCTTTCGAGCGGGTTTGTTGTCCTTGGCAGTGATTCCTACGGTGCAGCCATCGAAAGTGGCAGACAGCAGTTGCCTTTCTGTGATCCAGGAAGCTAGGGGCTCACTCATCCACCCTGAACAATACCTTGGCCACTCAAAAGACACAAAACCACCATTATCAAGAACATGGTTTGCAACCCTGATGAACGAATGCATCATTGAAACACTTTCCCTACGCTTCTCTCGAAGGATGTTGGACAATTTTGGGTTCTTTGCCTCATTCAACCTTTGCCAAGCACTCCAAGGACCACACTCAATGGAACCATGGATTGAACAACCAGGGATGGCTTTCACTTGCTCAACAAGTTGGTCGATGCTCGCTTTACTTGCAAGATCTATGTGTTCCTTACAAAGTCTTACAACTTGAACTCCAAGCTCCTCACCAATCCTACCGAGCGCTGAGTCTGAAGCACAGGCAAATTCAAACAAAATCTTTCCACCTGGGGAATTGTGGATCTGACTGTGTAGACGCTCCGGCTTTGCAGCTGCTCCTAGACAGCTCTCATCGCTTGCAGCGACTGCTGATGCATACGTTTCTTGAACAATCGTTTCTGGAGCTTTCTTGGAAATGGCATCATGAGACATGGCAAGGACGGCATTAATGCCTGCATGAACACGAGCTTCATCACCCTCAGGTTCATTTTCATCATCAGAGGGCGGAGGACATTCTGGGACAATCTCCTCTTTATCCTCTTCGGCCTCTGACAAGACAGTTGGGGTGTACTCTTCGTCAATCAAGTCTCCTAGGATCTCCGGCATTTCGAAGGTCGGAGGCTCAGGTGCTGGGGTCGAAGGGGCAGCACCGAATGCTTCCTCATACCGGGCAATGCATTCGGCATTGTGTGCAGACGAATCAGCATCACAACCTTTGCATCCCTTTGTCGGGCCGATCTTCAGCATCCTACTGTACGTGATGTAAACTCTGCGTGCTTTAGACTTAGTCTCTGGGGTATCTTCGATGAAAGGAATCGGCAGAGGATCCACGTCAGCGAGTTGACGAACATCAGGATCCGAGAAGTCATTCAATGCCTTCTCTGCGAGATCTCTCAACGGAAACACACGCTCATCACGAACATAAACCTCTTGATCCGGGGCGACCACAATGGAAACATGACCTTGCTTCAAGGAGTTGTAATCCACAAGTCTCAAAACACCTTTGTACCGACACCCAAACTCAAGCTTCCAACCTCCCATTAGGGCTGGTGAAGAATTGGGGGCGAGTTTTGACTTCTCTTGAAACTTTGTTCTATAGAAAACCAACTGACCCAAAATGTAATCTGCACCTTTGAATTCAGAACCAAAAGCCTTTGGCCAATGCTCGATGCTCATGGAAACAGCTGTGTACTGGCATGTCAGGGTCCAAAGTTTTGGGAACACAGCGAATCCCGCTTGCAAGTGCATGCTTCTGCAAGACTCTTCAAAGGACCTGATTTGTCTTTCAAGTACACTGTTGTGAGGCCATCTCCTAGGCAATGATGCGTCTGACAACCAACCGAGTGAACGAATGGCTTTCAGAAGCTCTTTGGCACAGTCTGACTTACAAATGGTTTGAGGGTTCTTGGCCTTTACACCCACAAAATGGTTCAGGGCTTCCTTGACCGAATCAGTATCTTTTGTTGCCAGAGGATATGCTTGGAAAACTTTGCTGAACAAGTCCATCACCACAAGAACAACAAATTCCTTCCCCGACGAAGACTTTGAAACGATCATGTGATCACAGGCAATTTGCTGGCCGAACGCTTCAGGAACAGGAAGATCACTCTCTTCGTCTGCTCTACGATGGGATCTGATGCGTTTTGAGTACAGCCTAGCACGATTGCAAACATCACAAAGTGCGGACTTGGGGAAATGTGTCATGCAATGCTTTGTGGACAGTGCAAGTTCCCGTTCACGCACGAACTTTTCAGATTCAGGAACCTTTGGCAAAGCCTCACCTGGAGCAACGCCACGAATGTCGTCTGCAACTGAATGCGGAATCGCACCTTCAGGAGACAAGACCTCGGGTTCTGCTTCAACAGGTTCCACCTCACCTGGTACGCCTGGAATGAAATCAAATGATCTGGAGAAATATGGTACATACTGATCAACCCTCGTTGCTCGAATCAAATTGCTTTCATCCGTTTGGAACTGGAATTGGTTGCAGTCTTTTATATAGCATGGGAGTTGATTGGGCAACCACAAAAACCCATACCATTGCTGACATCAAGACCGACAGACCGGACAAACGGACATGAGTCAAGCACGAAGTGGTTTGCTTCTTGAAAGATGCCTTCACGATCCCTGAGACCGATTGCATCGCTCGAATCTCTCTTTCCTCCACCTGTCGAAAACCTCAGGCTCTCATGTGAAGGAAGCTGGAACTGGCTGAACACCTCTGGAGACACTCCCTGCCTTTCTAAGCTTTGCGGAGAGACGAGATGTCGGCCGGCACCTGTGTCTGCAGCAAACTCTAGACGGCCTTCAACTGGCATGGCCATCGATGAGAGGGCAGCAACAATGGCAACAGCAGCCATTGCCTTGGCTTTCGGCTTTGGCTGGGCCTTTGGCTTAGCCGTTGCTTCGGCTTTGGCATCAGGCTTGACCTTCTTATGCAAGTACACGCATGAACTGCCGTGCACACAACCGGAAGGCATTTGGAAGAACACGCAAGGCGTTTTTGCCTTGTCTTCCTTGCTCAAACCCTTGCCTTTACCTTTTCCCTTCTCACCCTTGCCTTTATCACCTTTGCCACCTTTACCCTTAGGATCACTCTTTGATGACGAAGGATCAGCGGGAGCCGCCGGTGTCTCCTTAGGAGGTGGTGGCGGAACCGTGGCAGCCTTTGCAGGGTTTGCTAGAGGATTCGACTTCTCCTTTGGATCTTTCTTCCACGACTTAGGCTTCAACGAAAGCTCAATGGACCTAGCATTGGTGTCTTCCCTTTCCTCAACGAGGTGCTCCTGCAACCTTCCCCAAAGGAAGTCGAAATCACGAAGTTCCGAGCTATATGCGGAGCGTTTGATCTCGTCGATGGTCCTTTCAAGCTTTCGAACGTTTCTCAACCGATGGAACAACCATTCACCTAACATTCTCTGATTCGGCCAGTCGGCAGGGTCAATGGAGTTCAAGGTCTTCATGACTGTACCGCTAAACTCCTGGAGATCTTTCAACGAAAAACCACTGAGTTCCACCTGGAAGATGCTTTGCGATGTGAGCAATGAACCACGAGTACGATCGAGATCGAAATGTCGAGCAATCATGTACAAGATCATCCTACCCCGAGGGACTGTGGACTGACGAGTGCACCGCTCAACATAACCCTGGACTTTGAACAACAACTCAGGGCTTGACCGCACATTCTTGAGAAGCTCAGATGCAAGCCACCTATCAAACCTTGGGATCAGGCCTGATGAACTCTGGCATTCTTTCTCCTGACCTACCTCGAAAGCCGTTGCAGCCCACTTGGAAAGGTATTCATTTGACGAAATGTCCAAGCGGCCAAGCATCAGAAAGAAGTTTGTCTTCCAAGCTCTAAAGTCTGCAGCACTCTGAGGGACCACTTCCAGTTTGGTGTGCAACAAGGCTCTAGAATCAACAATCTCCCTTTCTGAGGCATGTGAGGGCGACTCGGAAATCAACTCCTCTTCATCGTCGTCCGACCCTCCACCCCCCTGATCGAATGGATCGGGCGGACCTCCGGGAAAGCCTTTGCCAACACGAAGTCCACGAGAAGGTCCTACAGAAGGTGAGGATGAATGGACGACTGTGTCATGCGAACGATCGAACAAAGGTCGAGGCTCACGATTAGGATCCGTGCTATTTCGGCTTGATTCAAGTGTCAACATTCTGGAACTGAGTGACTGAACAGCTTCCATAATCGACTCCAACATTCTGTTGCCTCCTTCAGTGTCCTTGGGCGAAGATGCATCAGGCACAGGCTTCGGAACGAAAGCAGGCGCAGGCGACTGGATGACCGCGGCGCTTGAAGCAGCCAGTCGGGCCTCCAGCGACGAGATGCGATCTTGTCGAGACGAAGACTCTTGGCAAAGACGCTGGATTTCTGAATCTTTATGGCCTAAAAGGTTGAGGGACTTTTGGTTGAGGTCGGACAAACGGTCGATCTCATCTTTCGCTTTGCGAAGTTGACCCTCAAACATGGACTGGTTGAATTTGATCTGGTTCTCAAGGGTTTGCTTTACCTCTTGGACCGCTTCATGCAAGCTGGTGATCATGACATCTTTCTCGGTGTGACCTGCTTGGAGCATTTCATTCTGACTACGGAGTTCTTCGACCAGGGATGTCAGGTGACCAATGTGAGCTGTGGCTTCCTGGAAGACTTGTTGAGCGACACCTTCAAAGTGCAAAGCTCTAGAGTCCGCTTCCCCGATCAGTCGTTGAGACTCAGCTACAACACGACCGAACTCTGCATGATCGATACCAACATATGCCACCTGGACCGTGTTAAAAGACCGGGCGTCATGAAGGTGCAATTCTTGTGTCAAGCTAGTTTGATTAGGCATGACTTCATCTTCCTCTCCGGTACCCTGGAACTCGGATGGACCAACCGACCGCTGGAGCAACCCACTGGACGAAGGCAAAGACCGAAGGTCAGTGAGCGCAGGAATGGATGGTTCAACCACTGATGACCCCTCTGCTTGAACCTGGGACTGAGTACCTTTGGGCATGTTTTTGATGACTCTGCTCAAAGATCTCTTTGGAGGTTTTGATCTCCTTCCCTCTTGGGGTGTTCCGGAACCATGGGATGATTGGGACCTGCTCCGAACAGCAACTGCCAAACCACCAATCGTAGTATCTGAACTGACATTCAACGATGAAGATTGCTCTTCTGACATGATTTACTGGCCAACTATCCAATCTCTCCCAAACCCTTCTTTCTTTTCGGCGGGAACGAATGCACAATTGGCACAGGCTCTTTCGGGAACTGGCCTAACGAACAAGGCTCCGCGGCGCTCAAAGCAGCCGGACCGGAGCAGCTTCGATGCAACTTCACTCTTCCTCGTCAACTGGATTCGAATGGTGATGCACGAAAGTCACCAAACGATCCACCAACCAAGATGCTGAAAAACTCCAAGACCTTTGCTCTTCGTCAAAAATCGCTCCGACCCGAGGCTTGCGAATCTGAATAGCGATGAGGCTCGCCGCACTGAACTCACGCAGCACCTCAACGTTGTCGTCCAAAATCACAGCCTGACCACGAGTCAACGATCTCAGCACCTCAAACTTTCCACCTGAGCCCGTCCTTTCACGAGTGATGATCACACAATCAACCGACAATGAACTCTGTTGTACAGCAGTGATCAAGTTCCTCTCGTTCACCACACTGTCGTGAATGTGCGACAAAACAATGATCTTCACTCGACAACGCAAGCCGACCTCCTCAATCTCCCTTCGCAAGCGACGAACTGCTGCAACGTGGCCCGCAGGCAGATTACCAATATGATCCACACGATCCGGAGGATTGACACTCCGATCAACGTCAAGGACCTGATGGTAGTCCAATGCAATCACCGGATCAGAGCCCCAGTGATTCGGCCTTTCTGCAGCCAGCCTCAACGTATCACCGTTCGCCCACACGTAAAACTCGGCTGAAGACGGAAAAGTCAAGGCCTCTCTGTAAACAATGTCAACTCGCGACCACGGGTGAAGAACGACTCCAGGCGCCGGGTGGTAGTACTTGAGGATGTCGTAAGGCCGATTTCCGGCAGGCGTGTCAACAACACTCGAATCCGCTCGACTCGGAACAGGCCTTGGGGCCGCAGCCAAACTTGACGAGCCAGGCGAATGATCGAAGACGTACGGATTGTAGAGCCTTGAACGCGGCACAAGATGCTCAGCCTGCAACGAAGTCAAATCAACTGCCGCTGTCAATGCAACAAACTCAACTTCGTCAGTCTCCTCACCCGAATCCTCGCTTGCACTCGGCTCCCAAAACCTAGAAGTTCCAAGTGGCCTTCTCTGACCGCCAGCGTGAACAATCGGAACCGTCGCTCGATCGCCTCCCGAATTGACAATGTACGCCTCCCTGCGTCGCCGTGCGGCAGCTCCTCCCCGGATACCGCGCCTCGGAGGATCAGGAGGCGTCGGTGGCAGCGGCCTCCTTGGCGGTGGCCCTGGGGGTTCAGGAGGCCGTATCGTCCGACGAATTGGCGAACGGGACGGCTCTCGAGGACGCCGACCTGACATGCACGGGTTTTCTGTGGACCCCGCAACCACACTAATGAATGATGTTGTTGTGTTGTAACAAAAACCGAAAAACAATCAAAAGCCGATACGGCTGATAACCACTTGAACCGTTGGAAAACGGAACACCAACACAAACAACAACAAGAAACCAACTCTCAGTAAAGATCGCCGTGTCCGCGAAGTGGCAGCGGCTGCGGCCTTTTTATCACTTGAGCCAAAAGTACAAATGTTCATGAACTGTGTCTATACATATGAGGTGTACTTTACACAGGAAACTTCAAGTATTATTTGTTGTATATGCATATGGCATGCAAGAGATATACAACGTTTACAAACATATACTAACAATTGCAACCACTATATTATATTATAATTGGTTAAAGTTTAAAGCACTTCTCTTTTGGAAGCCGTATACTGAACATGACTTGCCCAAGTCGATAGACGTGAACCCCACTTTCTCCCCCCAGTCCATCATGTGCGACCTCACACGATTGGCGACCTGGCGACCTGGCTCGCCCCTCTGGTCCGCCCGTGGCTCCGGTTCTGAGCCGTGTGGCATCCATCTTGCTGGGCTGCGGCGCGTTCTCTGCGGCCATTGCCTCGACCGTTCTCCGTCGTGTCTCCAAAAGGGCCGACCCTCAATTGAAGGAAGTCCTCAATACAAAAAGGACCACCAACGGCAACCATCCAACATGTGCTCCTATCCACACAGGTGTCAAACAAACAATATATAGTATAGTGAATCACTCAGGACATGAAACATGTCACATGTCGAACAATGACTGCCAGCCAGAATGACCTTCAAATGCGTGCAACATTAAGAATGCACCTGCAAATCATCGGATCTACAAAATCCATGGACGTGCTAGCAGCTCTCAATCTTCCACGGCCGATGAAGTCTACCTTAAGTTGTCTTGAGTTGCACTGGCACCATCCTTGGCGATCGTCGATGCTCGTAAGCACAAAAAACACCCGCGCCTGAGTCAAAGGATGGGCCATCAAACGATGATTTATGATTCAGTTCAAACGTCTGCGGAGGGACCGGCGAACAACTTTTCAGCTTCTGCTTCAGCCTCTGACTGCCATGAGCGGCAGCCGACTTTACAAGGCTTATAAGTATAACTTCTATAACTGACTGAAAGGACATTTCATAACTTATCATGACTTAATGACATGGAATTTATTTTGAACGAGCATGTCGGTGCGTGCCCATGTGCCCTCGCCCCTCGCATGGCAGGAATTGCAAGCCGCGGATGAAAACCACCGAATCTGTCATGGCCATTGAAGAGTTTATCATACGCATAATTACGTTTCAGCCGCCCAAATCCAGCAATAAGGTAAAGATCATAGGGCCATTGTTGGGCACATCGGAGCAACCGTCATCTGCTTCCCGAGTTTCGCCAAGGGGCAGGCCGAAGGACGCCTCACACCGAAAAGGATCGATCGATCATGACTGGAGCAAAAAAGCTTTCGAACCCTCCGGCGCTGAAGAGCGCTGAGGGCTCAGTCAGAACCTCCGTCAATGATTCCTCAGAACTCGCCTGGAAGCACATCAAACTAGTAACAAGTGCCTTACTAGAAGTAACAAGAAGCTATTAGAAACAAATATAATTTAATTAGAATTAATCTAAATCCTCAGAACTCGCCTGGAAGCACATCAAACAACCCTACCAACAGGACTCACAGGTGCCGGTTTCTACTTCACCAGTGCTGGGCCAGCGCTAGAAGCATCAAGGGGCCTCCGTATCTCTAGAGGAAATAGCTCGACCCCGTGCACCATGTACACTCCGACTCCCTAGCATGAATGTGGAAACTAGTTCCTTCTTTCTAGAGGAAAGATGAGGACAGTAGTCTTCCAAGTGACTATTTTCCACTCCCAGTTAGTGAGTCAGTGTACATACAATATTATACACAGTATCCTACAAGAGAGTTACCTTGATCTCCACCAAAATGGCCATTGGAACACACAAGAGCTTGTAAAGTGGACTTTCCTCCTTGATACGTTTCGATGGATGTGTTCTCAGTGTTTTCGAACTACTACTCTAAAGCATCCCTAAAGCATCACCCATGCACCGCCCAATCTACAAAGACCCTCACCCAACACCTGGTGCCAACCAGGACATCGAAAACCACCACATGTGTCCAATCGAGTCCCGGCCTTCGGAAATTGCAAGCCGTTCTTCAGCGCCGCACGGTCGACGCTTTGGCTTTTCACCACCTGGCAAGCTGGACACGGCTTGACCGCCGCGCTGAGAACACCGGGACTGCTTCTGAGAGTTCTGCACAATTCCTGGAATAATCATGGAAGTCGTCGGATGACCATTGTCCTCTTCCAACTGGTGGTGCCATCCTTGATTGTTTCAGCGTGTGTACACAAGTGGACGCATGTTGTTTGTCATGGGATGTCATGGGGCATTTATCAGAAGTCCATTTTGGACCTGGAAGGCCTGCAGCTTGGAGTCACTGCCGTCAGCTCAACTGCAACAACGCCAGCAACCACAGCTAGCACTCCCGAATCTAAGATCTCTTGACGTCGATCATCTTTCATTAGATATGATGATCAACACCTGAGAGGAAAAAGAACTCCCACCCTCATCAACCCACAAGAACACCTCCGCATGCGAGGTTAGTGGCCAAACACTTCCAAGAACCTTGGTGATGCGTCGCGAAACTGTGCCGGAGCACGCCATCCCTCCCACTGGAGCAAAAGGGCCAAATGAATGCAAAGTCAAACCGCGAAAACCATGTTCAAGCCGAGATGTGTTATAGCTTTGCCTTCTCCTTTTCTCGGTTTTCTCGGTTTCTTCGGCAAATCCTCTTATATATAGGTGGATGTCGCAACATTAAAAAGAACGATTGCTTAGAATCTTTGCGTGTCTGTATGTATAAATGCGGGTGCGGAATCCAAACTCTGTGCAACTTCAATACATTACAATACCAATGTAGCTGCGCTTGCTTCAACACATGTTAATATTGAAGAACCCCTGGACATGAGCGAAAAAATAGGGTCCCCCGTTTCGGCGGGTTTTGTGTTTTGGTAATACATCCCACAAGCAAAAAGCACTCAGACCATCCAAGACCTATACAACCATTCTTGAAGCTATATGCCTATAGTCTTAGCTTTGATGCTCTGCAAAAGCTTCACCATCCAGTCTCCGGGGAAGGTCTTCACTTCCAAAGCCCGTCTTTCTTTCACCGTCCAGAGGCTGCTGCTCTTCGACCTAGCTCTGCAGGGCTCGACGCTGTGCGCAGACCCCCGCGCCCGGCGTTTCGGGGCTCCACTGGGGCAGCAGGGCCTGGCGATGGAGATGGCACCAAAACCCAAGAGGCGTGTTTTTCTTGTACTGTGATTGTCTGGTGACTTGGTGATAGGAACATATAAGGAACGTGATCAATGCCTTAAACATCCCTAATTAAACTACTTATATAAGACTATCAAAGACTCTTGCCTTAAGTGATTCCATCTTCCACAGCCGTTCCCGGTCTTCCCTCGTTGAGCCGACGTGAGCGTGCCTTGGTCCTTGGAGACCTGGTCGGGACAGAATCCGAGCGCTGGAGGTGCCGCGGGTGCCCCTGTTTGACTTCGACCGTGTGAGACATAGAAGGCTGCCTGACATCTGTGGAACATGACCGCTACAGTATGTAGAACATTTTATATGGTGCGCAGATTTATTTGCACACATTATGGTATACTCTATATATATATACCATATACCGTCATATGCCCTCTTGATTCTTTTAATGGGATTGATGGGACAAGCTGCGGCGCCTGAGCTCGGGAAAAAAGAAAAACACCATATTGATGGAGGTGCTAGAGTCCTTCCATCAGCCTAGGATCTCGCGACCAATCTCATGTAGTCATGTATATAGTTCTGCACATGCGGCACATGCCCCCAACGCCGTGATACACCGTGAGGGTGTTTCAGCATTGGGATAGCCCACGGAAGCTCAGCGAAGTCCAGAAACAAAAATGGATTGCAACAGTGAAACGTATTTCAACCCCCCATACAAGGTTTAAAGCTCCAAATGTGTGCTTCTTTGTTTTTAAATCCAGATTCTACACTACAGTTTCAGCATGTTTCAACTTTCACGTCAAAACAAACAAACTTGTTGAGGTCTAGTGAGCCGAACGAACATGCCCGAAAGCACCTGGAGGTATGTCCAGGTACATCTGCTGAAGACCAGCCAGACCACCCCAAATGTGACGCACCTCGCTGCGACCGGAGGTCCGGTCGACGGACCTCCGGAATGCTTCTGACCAGGCCCGGTGGGCTCATCCATGCTGAGTTTGGGGCTCATTTCTCCCCAATCGGAAAACGACTGGAAGCAACCCAACCAAATTGAGATAGGTTGGAAATGCCACAAAGGCCGTTGGGATGATGGTGGGCGATGAAGGCCTGATTAGAAAATTGACATATATATAATTAACGCAACTGAGGGCCATGCTATGCCATTCTCATCCTCCCATCCCGGATCTCACGATGTTAGCATCTGCATGTTAGTCTTCCGGCATTGCGCCATGAGTGGCAGAACTGCATTGGCGCCGTTCTGATCGCCAGCAGGTGGGCTAAAAATCCCCTTCAAAAAATGACCAAGTGATCCATCGCCCTACCAGGTGATCCACAGCCCTTCCTGATCCTTCCTGAGTAGGCCCCGGTAGGACTCCTTGCCTCGCCGTCCGGAGACCCGGTGAGGAGCGCGCGTTTTGGGCGCAGCGACGCGAAGAGGCCATGGCCAAATGCAAAGAAAATGACTTGGATCAAGCACCAGAGAACCTGAAAGAACCTGATCAGAAACTAGAGTAACTATGAGTAACTAGTCTGGCATCCCCTTCTGCTTAAAAAAACGATGATCAAAACGTAGTCTGGCCTCCCCTTCTACTACCTTCACTCCAGCCACACGATGTTGGACAAGGGGGGGGCCCGCGAAGCAGGGCTGGTTGGAGAACATGTGCGCCTGCAATGACGATCAAAACTACAAGCCAAGTGCAAGCACCAAGTACGGTGCATCTTCTACAATAGGAAACTTGTGTTTTTCGTGTGCCATCAAGCCTTCACAGAACGCTGGAGGCGACTACCTACCGCATGCTCGGTTGTGGAGTCAGTGGTTACCTACTGGGCTCTTTGAGCAAGGGAATCTGGGCATAAGCTGAGAGCCTCTTGATTGGAATCTGCGCTGAACCATGCAAATTCAATAGTGTGTTCATAGCCTGCTGCCATTCATCTTTTCAACAGGCATGTTTAAAGATCTGCATCTTTTGGCCACATCCTATTGGCTGCAAGGCCCAGCTGCGGAAGATTTGCAACTCTTAGATATGCAGAACACTCTTTTGACACGTCTGTAGTCTCCCAACGGCATTCTGAATAGGACAGGAGCTCGGAGACCAGGTACCCCATCAGGGAATCATTCGTGGCGTGCAGCAGCCAACTGAGATCTCGAATCCGTTTGCACCAAAAGAGGTGGGAGGTGCCCTTTGGGAGGCCTACCAGTTGAATTGTATGTTTGAGGAGGGCCTTCCTCTACAGCAGAAAGCGGAGCCCACACAGCCAGCTTGGGCGCCAGTGCCATCCTGAGGCATCCTCGAACTCTGAGGGACCTAGAGCTGAAGCAAGTGCAATAACCACGAGAGAGTGCATGCTCTCACATACTATCACATACTGTAATACTTCTCCACCGCTCATGTCCAAAATGAGTGAAGTGTCAGGGTGCTCATGTTGCTCATGTCCACTGCAAAGCAAGGACCTGGCCCAAGCAATTGACAAAAAGTTTGCCCCCAGTGGGATTTACTGTGGTTTGTGCTCTGCCACACTGACCTTGAGAGTTGGTACCACGCCACCGCACCATGCAACAGCAATCCACAAACACGGCAAGCACCCCTGCACCTACCATTCCATGCAGTCGAGCCACATAGAATCCACTCATAAAGAGTCACAGGAGGGCACTGCTTAAGTCCTGCAGGGCTCTTTTTTCCAATGTCCATGGTGGTTCGGACTCCACCCTTGAATAGTTATTGATGTCGCCACCTCCTTAAACACATGTATAGTTCCTCAACATGCTCCAACAAGAGTACCAAAGTTCGCCTGTGGGGGAACTGCTTTGCAGCACATGGCAGGAATGTTTTCAATCTCACACCTGTCCTATGCCATCATCATAGGCATAGCCTTGGCAGTGGAATGTCCAATGATCCCAAGTTCAGATCAGAAGCAGTCCAAAGACCCCATAGTGGTAACAAAGGAGGGGCACGAATCAACTGTCACTGTCTCTCCCAACGCTTCCATATACACTATCTCTCTCTCTCTCTCTCTCTCTTCCGTTGTCTATTGCTAGCTGTCAAGATCATCTAGGCAAGGCCAACAGGTGGTCCAGCTACATCCACAAACCAACCTGGGCCGCCCCAGCCATAAGTGCCCTTCCCCATCTCGGTCGCGCAGCCCTGGTGTACTGCGGCCACGTACCTGAAGAGCCCCGCCTGGACATCGAAAGCATCTGTCTCCATTTTTTCCATCAAACCGGCATCTCCCCCGCTCCTCCCCTGCTAGTAACAAGAAGCTACTAGTAGCGTTCGGACGCTATGCTCGGTGGAGGCCATCGCAGGTAGATTGGAGGCCATCGCAAGTAGGTTGGAGCTCATTGCTACTAAGGAACAAGAAGCTACTAGGGGCTCCTGGCCTTGCTACTGGGAGCAAGGACGCTACTAGGGGCTCCTGGCATCGCTACTAGTACTTTTTCAGATCTTTGGGGTGCGGTTTCACACATGAATGGTATCTATGCAGATGCTGCGCCACATCGACCCACTGCCGAGACCACACATGTCCGTACTTGGAGGGATCAATGCCAGGGCCTATTCTTCTTCCAGGGGGGTCTTATTGGCAGGTCTCCCTATTTATGGATGAGGTCCGCATGGGACACCAGAATCGGTCACCAGCATGTAGCATGTCCGAATCGGTCGCCGGCATCAGAATCGGTCGCTAGGAATCGGATTTTTACTGCAGCAAGGGATACAAATTCAGCATGATTCAGCGCCAAGGGGAAGAAAAAAGAGCAAACCGAATCGTTCACCAGAAGGAGGACAAAAGGCTGCGCGGGCCATTTTCACCGAAAAAAGGTCGAGAGAAGTCGGAGAGAAGGAGCTGAGCAAAAACCGAGCCAAACAAACCCGGCACGGTGCTTTTTTGGACAATGCGCCAAACGCACCACGTGCGTGCTGCACGGGAAGGTGGAATGCACCAACGTCCCCCAGAAACACAAAGTTCTTTAAAATCTTTTAAAATAAACGTAACTAGCCCTTTGCCAAAGAAAATTGCTGGAAGTCTTCGATTGGGTTACCAGTTCTAAAGCTTTGTGCATTTTGCTTGTCCTGCTCATTGGTTCTGCTTTTGCTTCTCTTTTATATTGCTTGCGTTTGCGCTTCAACTTGTCGAGGGCGTGCTCGCTTGCTTATAACCCGAAAAAGTAAAGAAGCCAGGCCCTAACGGAGAGAGGGAGAAACAAAGAGAGGGAGACAAAGAAGAAAAAAACGATAATGCAACGGAGAAAGAGGAGAGAGGCGAGAGGAAACATTATAGGGCTTCGTTGGGGTTGGCATTTGGTGTCACTTCTTTATAGGGTGTCTTTAGGCTTGCCTCGGGCTTTGCTTGTGTAAGGTTTCTTTAGGGTTGGCTTCGGGTTTTACTTCAGGTTGTAATTCTTTAGGGCTTGGCTTCACGTGTGAAGCGGGTGGTTCAGGTTCTTGTACCTGTGAAGGCCAAACACGATACCTGCTGATGCAATGGGGTCCTACTTGAAAAGTTCCCCTGTGCTTCCAAGCCATGTCTGCAAAAAAGTCTATATTTGAGTAAGCCCTTTGTTTGCACTTGACCCTGGAACTGCAGTGCCTGATTCCTAATTAGTGTCTACTAGTCTACTTCGCCTTTTTGGGAGGTAGCTTTTCGCTCGCATCGCTTTTCGCTGGTCACCCAAAATTGGTCGCCAGGGACCGATAGGGGGGTAGAAGCCATGGGAAGAAAACCGAACCAAACCGACTCGGATTTCACCTGGACGAATGGAGTCCCGGTCGCGAACCGGACGAAATGTCGCGACGCTTCGTGTCGTCCCCAACTGCCAACTGCCAAGCCCCAGCTATACATCCCAAGACGACCCATATGAACCCGTCCACCAACGCCGCAGTGTGCGGCACTGGGTGTCTTTGACCGGGTTCACCGCCGCGTCGCAGCTCACCGCTGTGTCATACCTCGGTCGAAGACGGTTGAGGGCAACGAATGGACCTGACCCACAACCAGGTGGAGCTTTCTTGGAGAGTAGGGGACGCTCCCCCCCAAAGAAAAGGACATAGAAGAGAAAGAAACATCTGAAAGATTCTCGTCATGCTAGGGTGGGTGGGGGGGGGTCAAACCCGGGACCTTGGATGAAAGGGCCATACTTTGGCCGCCTTGAATTTGCAAAACAACGCAGCCACCTTTGCAGCCATCCCAAGGCCCAACCACTTTGAACTTTGGCTTGTGAACAATCTGTATCGTTCTTTATCAAATCATGTATATACGGACAATATATGTATATAGACAAATGTGTATATATATATACCAATTATATATACACACACATTTATATGCATAAAGAGAAAGAGAGAGAGAGAGAGAGAGAGTGAGTGAGTGAGTGACTGACTGACTGACTGACTGACTGACCGAGTGAGTGAGTGAGTGAGTGACTGACTGAGTGAGTGAGTGAGTGAGTGGGAGTTTTATAATTCATGTTTTACCGTATGTATCATATATCGGTATATCTTTTGAGGGACCCCGCCGACCAATTGGGTTTGGATGGTTTTGGTATGATTCCTTTCGCGGGATATGGGTGGGAGGTGTCATGTTTGTAGTAAGAATGCAGGAAATTCCAGATCTGAGCAGTGGCAGAAAGTGGTGCCTCCACAGCCCACAGGACAGAAGAAGAACCACAGCCTGGTCGAGATACCAATTCAACCCAGCACAGCAACTCTAGCAGCTCAGCCAACCACACTCACTGACTACACCCCTGTGCCGTACCCATCTCTGGGCGAATAGCATGTTCCTTGGGGTCCACCAAACATGAGCATCATGAGAAACACCTCCTCCAAACCACCCACCATCACCCACCATCACCCACCATCACCCTCCCACCCTTCGCTGGGCGCCCCTGCGGCTTGGCACACCCATAGCGCGGATCGCCGGGAAACTTGCCTTCGTTGGTCGAAGCCCATCGGAATCGAAGCCCGGACAGATCCAACCCCACTGACCCGCTGGGCGTTCGTTTCGTGCGAATTCTTCGTGCTTCTTCAAGCATCCAAGGGCACAGAAAAGGGAATTGGTTTGGAATCAAGTTCGCACATACAAAACAACCCGTCCAAGATCTCAATTGCATGTTTTTGATGGTGTTAAAGCTCTTGCGGGGTACAAGTAGGAGGGGGGGCAACCATTTTCACATAGACCCTGGAAGATCAGAAGTCTCCTCCAAAACACCAAACCAGTTGCCTTGAACCCCTGGTGCCCAGTCTTGGGACCTTTTTCAGCCGACCGCCCGGTGGCCGCGGTTTCCCCGGGGCCCGGTGCTGATGGGGGCCATGCATCCCACGGTCTTCCCTTAGCGGAGACTCGGAAAGGACGGTAGACATGAGGGGGACAGGGGTCAAAGAATGGTGCCCCATCATGAAGATGAAAAGTGAATCCCCTGCTGCAGCTGCGAATTCGCCCTGCGAAGTGATGA